CCCACTTCTTCGGATGCATCCGAAGAAGTGGGCTGTAGTCCACGAAAGCTTATGCTCTAATAAATTTGTTAGTCTCTAAGGTGCCACAAGTACTCCTGTTCTTTTTGCGGATACAAACTAACACGGCTGCTACTCTGAAATATTTCAGGCAGTGTCTGCTGTAATGTATGTGCAGTCTCTGGACACTACAGCTTCTATCATTGCTGTACTGATGGAAAATTACAGGTCCCTTTTTGCCAGTGTAGACTAGGCCAAGGTGTGACACAAGGCATGGAATATGCCTTGTGACTCATGCAGCTCGAGGTGTGGAAGGAGTACAAAGGCCACGGTCAGCAGTGCACAGCACAGGGCGAGGGGTGAGCAAGGACCAGGAGGTGCAGTGTGAGGTGTCAGGCATGCATGGGGCTGCACCAGCCATGCAAGATGGCAAGTAAGAGGTGCAATATGGAGGGTAAGGTGCAGTGAGAGGGGATGAGAAAGACATATGAAGGCACAGGGCTCATTGCCCAGCAAGCAAATGCTGGCTTCGCCTGAGCGGGACCTCAAGAGCTGCCTCGGGCAGGGCACAACAAGCCCTGGGGAGCAAAGCGCTGCTGTATCATCCCCTTTAAAAGCAGCAGTCTGATTTGCAGGCAGATGGGAGGGAGCCAGGGTTGGGGCTGGCTGAACAATGGCCCCTATTCTGTGCCTGGGGTGATGTGTTAGGCGGTCCTGGCAGATGGGAGCAGGGTTCCGTTGCTGCCACGAGTCGAAAGAGCACTTCAGCTCCGCTAATGCTGCCTGCTGGGGACAAAGAAGCCTGCAGGCCACCTCGGTCCCCAGCTCCCCATCAGGAGCTGCCAGCAAAGGGCCGGTTTGTTTCCTCCGAACAAAACACTGCTTCATTACCCAGGCCAGGCCTTACCCCTCCTCCCCACACAAGTCTGCAGGTATGGGCTGGATCCAGGCATGAATAGGTGCCATAGGAATCAGAGACAGGCCTGGCAGAGGCATCTTTCAGAGCAGCGACTGGGCCTCAGGTGGGGAATCTCTAGCGGCTGGGCCAGAACTCCCCTCCCCAGGCTAACAGTGCCAGTCTGTGAGTGGGTGGGTGGTGGATGCAGCATCCCTCACCATACAAAAGAGACAGGCCTTGATTGTAGTGACTAAAAGGGGATTCTGTACTGAGGCTGCTAGACACAGACAGACCCTGTGGTCCCCTTTGGCTGTGTATCTGCCATCCTGAGCCGCATAGTTTCACCACACAGGGTCTTCCTACATCCTAGCCTGGCCGCAGTGGTCGTGGAAGGGACTGCTGATAGTGGAAATAAGGGGTGATATGAGATGATCAGCGATGGAGGTTCAGCAGCTATATGAAGCCACCAGAGGAACTGATTAAACACTAGGGGCTGAAATGCCAGCCATACACAGGTGGCACCCAGCTCTATGTGTCCCCTCTGGCAGATGTGACCAGCTCCCTCTCCCTGCTGTCCTGGTGCCTGGCTGGGACCAGCCCCTGAACAAAGAGCAGCTGGTGAATGCCGCACCCAGGTGAGACAGAGGCGATGCTGCTATGAAGAGGGAAGCGCCATGAATATCTCTCCTCTTCCATAACTTCCCCCATGATCGAGGGCACCTGCCCCTCGGGGATACTGGCTGCCCAAATAGCCCAGGCAGCACAAACTGCCCCCCTCCGACTGTGGCTAGCTAGACGATCGTACCCTGTCCTGTCTGACACAGATCTGGCCACGGTGAGGACATTTGGGACCTCCCAGCTCCATTAGTGCGGCTCAGCTGCCAGGATGGAGGTGCACGCCCTGGGAATACACCAACTGGTGCCATGCACAGCAGCCTGTCTGCTTAGCAGCATGCCTGTGCCCTGAGCACATCACCCCAGTGCTGCACCCCATTGAATAGAGTCCAGCACAAGATCCTGCTGTCCCAGACCTCCAAGGAACAGGCCCTGCTGCCTGAGAGATGCCTCTCCCTCCGTGAGCACAATGTCCCATGACAACTATGTTCCTCCGGGCCCCTGACACTGTCTCCAACGGGGGGAGGTTCGTGAGTGCAGGAGTCAGAACTCTCATGGGAGCAGGGCTTAGACTGTGGAACTCCCTGCCACATGAGAGACGAGACCATGGGCCTCAGAGGGATCAGAACTCAATGCAAAACTCATCTCTTCAGCTTAGCTTCCCCTCAAGAGCTCTCCACATGCAGGCTTTGTCTTCACTGCCAAAGAATGTGTGTTTTTACACTGATAATGGACACAGGAGGATAGGTGAGGTCAACCATGGGCAGGGGAATATTGTTGACCCGTGGTAGAACTCCACTAGGACTTGACAGTGGGCTGGCTAACGTGCAGTCATGATCCCCCTCTAAAAAAAATCCATCTGTTTTGCAGAGAAGACAATAGCCACAGGCAAGATAAGCCATAGCCAACCTCACCCACTTAAACACACCAGAAAAAATGCCATGGCCTTTCAATGAAGAGAGGGCAAGAGAGTTTGTATGATTGTAATTGGACTTTAACAATTTGGCAAGGACGCAGCTACTCCCTGATGATGAGAGGGAGAGAAAGGTTGGCTGGGGAATCAGTCAGATGTGACTAAGCAGGCCAGGCGTGGGCTGTAGATGTCAGTTTCTGGCTTGCAATCAGGGTAGAGCTGAGCACAGACTGACTCTCTGAGACAAGCCTCAGCCACAGAGTTCAGATCCAGATCTCAGCTCCCCCAAAGGTCAAAGCAGCAAGGTTGCCCCCTGCCCTTTTTCAGAGCCCCCGTGGAGTGGAGCTAAGCCTCTGGGGAAAGGCTGGTCCCTCCCAGTCTGCAAAGCAGTGTTCTGGAGGAGGTGCTTGGAGCAGTGCCAGCCAACAGGGGTTTCCAGCTCGCATGCTGAGCCAGTTCCAAAGGCCACTGTAGTCTATGGAAAGATTCCCACAGATTTCATAGAATCATAGAATATCAGGGTTGGAAGGGACCTCAGGAGGTATCTAGTCCAACCCTCTGCTCAAAGCAGGACCAACACCAACTAAATCATCCCAGCCAGGGCTTCGTCAAGCCTGACCTTAAAAACCTTTCAATTGGCTTCCAACCAGGCCCACTGTGAGCAACCTCCTGAGTGGTATGAAGCCATTTCCCAGCCCCAGCACATGGGAGACCATTCCTGGCCAACAAGCAGCCAGAGTGGGGCTTGCTGTCTGCCTCTCCCACAGCCTTGGGGGGAGGAACTGGCCCTGCTGTATTGAACCTCTCCCTGTGTTTACTGAGAAATCTCAGCCAATCTTGAAACCCCACCCCTGCTGGCAGCTGCCAGGTGAGCCAAGAACCCGTCAGCTTCCTAGCCTGTCAAACCTGCCTGCCTGGAGCTGGGTTATGGGTAGGGCCCTCTCCACTAGCCACCAATGGAAACCTGTCCTGTGGTCAAGTGGCACCTGGCCCAAAAGCCAGTGGCTCCACAAGTGAACACCAGTGCCTGCCACAAACTCCCAGTCCTGGCTGTTTTATATGCATGCTCCGGGCCCTGGGCTCCTGCCATGGTTGGTAGGGCTGGATTTTGCTGTGCCTAGCAGGAGAAATGGGGAAGGAGTGCATGGTCTCCAGTGACAATGTCTTTGTTGATGTCAATGCTGCAGATGGATACAAACGGTTCTGTTGTTCTCAGCCCTGGAAGGGAGGGTTGTGAATGAGCTCTCTGTGCTGCTTGAAGTGGGAGGAGAGACGAGCCAGGGAGCCAGCTAGGGTGGTGGTGAGAGCTCACTCTCCGGACATTCTCCCTCCAGGAGATGGTGGGAGGGTCCAGCCCCAGCTCCACTCCTGGGAGGAGAGACTGAGATCCTGGAGATAGTAGGCACCACTGGGAAGAAACTGTTTGCCCTGAGGCTCCAGAGTTCCAAGCTGATGGCATGGCCCTGGCACCATGGAGATGGCATAGGGAAGGTGGCCACAACTTCTAGGGAGGGGTGAGCTGTCTTGTAAGAGCTGGCACTGTGATAGCTGCCCAGGAGATTCCATGTCGAAGCAACATCCCAGCGCCCTTTGCATGCAGTCTGGTCCCACTGAGCCCTGGAAGAAAAGGGAAGTTTGCAGAGAGGCGCTTAAGCCAAGGCAAAGGTGAGGTTCACAGGTTTTTTTTTTACCATGTATCTACTGCAATGGGGAGTGTGTGTGTGAGAGAGAGAAAGAGAGCATGCAGGGGGAGAGTGTGTGTGAGAGAGCATGTGGGGGGTTGTGTGTTGGGTGTGTGTGAGAGAGAGAGGCTGTGCATAGGGGATTGTGTGTGGTGGAAGAATGGAAGGGGGTGAGGGGGTGATAGTGTTTGTCTGTAGTGGGGAAGAGAGAGTGTACAGTTAGAGTGCTGGGTTGTTGTGTGCAGTGGGGTAGCAGAGTCTGTGTGTGCCAGGACAGTGTGTTTGTAAAGAGTCTGGCTGTCACTGAGAGTGTTTGCGGGTGCAGCAGGGAGCATGGGCTTGGGAGAGGGAGATGTATGGGGAAGAGTAAGAGCCCTCCTTTTCCTCTGGGATGCCTGCTCTGCAGGAGGAGTGCCATTGGGGGCAGGCTTTCGGGGCAGGGAGGGCTGCAGGGGTGGGGTAATTGTGGGAAACCTGCTGTTTACAGGAAAGTGGGGATAGCTGCGGGGGACATGCTGTCTGGGAGGGGCAGTTGGGGCCATGTTCTCTGCGGGGGCACAGCTGTGTTACTCTCGTTAGGAAGGTGGCATACACGTGGAAAGCCTGGCAATGACCATGCCCCCTGCTCCCCCTGCTAATGGGGAGCCACAACTAACAGGAGCTGTTCCTTGCAGCCTGCATGCAGGGTGCATTAATTATTAATCCACTAACCTAAGGCAAAGTCAATACTGAGGCTGGGCTAAGAAAGCGATCCCAGGCATATTTGCTTATAAACATCCCAGCAGAGGCCAGGCCTGGGTGGAGGAGAAAGTCCTCTCTAGCATCCCTGGGAGAGGGGGAAATGCCCCCTCCACTCCAATGACAATGGATTGGGGATTAGAGACTTTTCCTGCAGAGCCAGTCACTGGCTGGAGGAGGCAGTTACTTGGTTCACTGCCCGTGTCTCAGGATTTACAGAGCTGGACTCCAGCTAATAGGCTTTCGTGTGTTTCTTTTCACATTTCATTGATATCTCTCTAGCTTGGGTTTAGCCAACATCCTGCAGTGTCCTCAGCCCAGCCTTGGGCCAGTGCATGGGAACCAGGAAGTGAAATTGACAAGAAACAGAACAGGAAACAGACCAGCCTGTTTCACTAGCCCTGCTGAGTAAAAGGCAAAAAGTAAACAAACCGAATGGGCAAGGAAAAGTGAGTTAGATGCTTAAAGTGAGATCCTGCTTTGAATGTGTCTGCAGCAATGACCCTCTCCATGCTCAGCAGACCTGCTACCTGTTTGTGTCCGACTCACTTTTCCTGACCTTAGTGACCAAACAAAAACCCCAATAACGTTTGATGCTCTTAACTCCTGGAAAGTCACACAGCTCTGGGAGAGTGAGCCAGATTC